TAGTCCATATAATGTAGTTTAGAGGATAAAGAGAACATGAACAACTATCAGAAAAGATATAAATCAATTAGTAATTAAATAAATATACAGAAGACTATCAGTGCATGAATTATTAAAGAAAGGAATTGCATTCAGTGTTTTCTTAGATTTGATGATTACAACTCAACAGCATAAGTACTTGGACTTGGAATAAAATGGTCATGCTCTCATGTTTTTTTCAGTTATGTAGAAAGGAAAAGAAATCAGATTTTAATATGTGTTCATATTGCACTTAGACATTCATTCAGATTAAAACCTTTGTTTAATGAAAACGGTCAATGGCAAGATTTCAGGCAACTTTGAGAACAGTGCAGGGGAAAAAGCTCCATGAATTATTTAAACATTTAACAGAAGCTGTGACCTTTATAAATATTACTTTGGCTGTCTGGTTGCAACATTGTTAAGCAAAGGTTTTCTTTGATTTAATGTCAAAGCTATCTAAGCACAGAGCATATGAGGAATTTTCTACGCAAAAGTGCATGGCATGTTTTTTTTCCAGATGTATCTTGGAAACAAATCTCAAAGATAAAGGCTATACATAAGAAATACTTAATGCCACAGTGTAGACAGTTTGTGTCTATTCTTAATGCTAGACATTTCAATATACCATATCTTTTAAAAGGACATGGCAAGGTTTTGCACTTCCATTATATAACAATAATATTTAGCAATGGCAACAAATGCCAAGATAGTGATCCATTGTATTGAGTCAAGCTCCAAAACTGGTGGATCTTACCATTCTAATAATAGCAACAAAGGGAGATTCCAACTGTCTTTATGAGTAAAGTCCTTAGGGTTGATTTGGAGTAAGTGACATATGAGTCACCAAATCTTCATTTACAAATCATTAGCATTATAAGTATCAAGTCATGTTAGTGTGGTATCACAGAATGAAAGAGTTAGACCAGTCAACCATTTTTATTCTCAGCTGTTCAGCTTTTCTGTGTTTCAGATTTATGTAAAGCCAGCAGCAGCTGGGTCTCCCTTGTAGCCATACAGTCATTGCATGTTTTAACAGGACCCTGGTCAGTGACCGGAGCGCACATGCAGAGTTGCAGCATTCCAAATCACTGTGCATGTTGTTTTACACCCAACTATAACTCAGGTACAGGCTGAGTGGATTAAATCATCTGGGTGTAAATATGCAATTTACTGTACTGTCCAGTGAAATACAAGGAGTGATGTGTGAAGTGATTCAGGTCCATTAAGTAGTATTTCAAGACTTGAGAATTTATTAGCTGCAGTACAGTTAATGCTAAAGTAGACCAGGCTTGTGGAGGCCAAGCAAATAAATAAATAAAAGCACACATGTGTGTGATGTAGTGTGGTGCATCCACAGTGTAGTAGTTTACACACTCGCTTAACAAAAGCGCTCTAGCTTGATCCTGAGAGGAGACACGAGTCCCTCGAGGGTTGTGTCAGGAAGGGCATCTTGCTAAATCAAACATGCAGAGTGACCCCCTTGTGAATAAGGGATCAGCAGAAACTGGCTTTACTGTGTAAAGCAGTGATTTGTTTTGCTCTGAGTTACAACCTACTGCAAGTGTCACCCTGTCAGAGGTTATTATGCCTGGTGATCATCAGCACTGAAAATGTTGCAATAACAAATGTCTATCCTACCTAGTATCCACAGATACTAGACAGAGCACAGTAGTTTGTTTGTTTGTTTTTCTGTAAGGAAGATTTGGTTAAAAAAACAAGGTAAAGAAGAGTTTTACCTGGGTTAATGGTTTTCTAAAAAGTCCCAACACAAATTAGAGAATAATTTGCAAATTTGCAGAACAACAAAAAGAACAGTGTCGATTATACCACTCACTCACAGATTCCTTTGCAATAGTGGTTAAAAATGTCCTGTGGAGAAGTTTATTGGACTTTAAAGTGCTTCCTGAAGGAGTGGAAAATCTTTGAAACATTCTTGTAGAATGCATCTCTTTGCTCATGTTTGATTATTAAGTTCTGTATTAACCTCTTCACTACACCTTCTAAGAACATCACATGATTTCAGCAATCCTTTACATCTGGTAGGCAAAATGATAAAATACCTGCTTTGCTACTGTGCTAAGACTTGAATTTGGTGAAATGTCCTTTGGCAACTTTTTAACAATGCATTTCAGGATTTAGATCAGCAAAAAAACCCCTGCATCGCTAAAAGCAGACTGTATTTGTGTGTGCACGTGTGCAATCTATCCAGCCTATCACTTCATCTTGAGTTGTGTTTTATTGCATTTCTCTGGAGCGACAATCATCTGTAACTTTACCTTCCAAGATAATGCCAGCAAGAGTCGTTTATATGAGTAATTATATCTGCTTGCAGTTGCATACAATTTTACTTCTTACTAATGGATGCAGCACATCATCTGAAATGTGGGTGTGCTCTGTCTGCTTATGCCTTGTGGAGGAGGGAGTGTGTGTGTGTGTGTGTGTGTTTGCCTGATTATGAAAGGAAAAGTCAGACACATTTTACACTCAGTTGCACACACATACATAAAGCAGTCCAACCATTTGCAAAGCCAGACTCTCCGGATATACTGGAATGAGAAAGAAGGGGGAGATTCTAAATATCATATTTAATTTGATTTAGCATTTTCATGAGCCTGTTCCTCATCCTTAAATCATGTTAAGATGTTTAGAGTCATAGCAGCTCCTCCTCTGCTTACTGCTTACACTGAATCGCTTGGCCCTCACTCCTAATGAATGCGGGGTGATTTCCATAAAATATTCTTAAAGAGGTCTGTTATTATTACCATAACGTTTCATCTCCCACCATGGCTAAACTTCAATCAGTTTTGCATTTGAAATGCATTAAATGTCTCCATAAACTCTTCTAATCTCTACCGGAGTCATTTTTCTTCCTTAACCGGTATGTGTAGAAAGGAAAACTAATATTAAAGATATTAATTGCACTGTTCTTTTTTTCATTCCTGATTAGAAATTTCAGTCTCATCCAATGTTTCAAAACAAGTGTGTAATTATGTTGTTTATCAGAGCGTATACTTGTCTTCCTCTTATGTTTAGGGTTAATTACTCCAAGGTCTTTGATGCACATGCTCACATGAAAATAGAAAAGCCCCGTATCCATTTTCACACTCCAACAGAACTGCCTTGCTGAGCTGAGCTTGTTTGGAGTTGTAGTACGATGTCTTCATTTAAATTCCTGGACTCCCAGTCTCACTTTACAGTTGTTTGTGTTTCCTCGGGGGGAACTGGAGGATTTCTTCTACAGGCCTCTAGTCTGTTGGATGATTATCATGGGTCATCATATTTGTTTTGTGATATCATACAAAAGCAATGGTTAAAGGAGAAAACCATCTACCTTGCATGCCTGTGGTGATGATTAGGATGATTACTGCAGTGGTGATAATAAAGATGAAGACAATGTTAAACATTCAGTGTAAAATTTAGATCACTAAATGTTTACTGGCTCTCTCCTGCACACTTCCATTGTCTAGGGAAAGTTGTTTACTTGCAACAAATTATCTTGGGTGCTTTTCCTTTAGACCAGCAGGTGTCACTCTTGTGCTGCATGTATTCAAATTTGGCAACATCTGCTGAATAAAAGCTGAATAATTTCAACAAGACTTCGACTGAAGGACGAATAAAAGCACCCATATTTATGGGACAGATTTTTTGGGTTTGTAAAATGAATTAATTTGCAGTGAGTGCGAAAATTTTGGTTTCAGGGTCTTGAAAAGATGAGCAGTGGGCACATAAAGGAACACTTTGGCTCTTTTATGCCCAAAGAATGACAAGATTTGAGGGCAAGTTTTTACAGGTGTGACACTATATTAATCTGCTTTTTTTTTCTTTTTTCTTTTTTTTTTACATGTATTCATTAACATTGTCAATTATTATTATATTACTGTATTTTACATGTTTTTTTCTGAATGAGTCCAGTTAAGTCTACTGCATCTATACCAGGATAGTAGGACACTCTTTATTTACCTTTCCTTTATGTTGTACTGGCCACAACAAGCCTTTTCAGTATTCAATATTGCACATTAGGATGGAACACAACTGGGAAAACATGCTTTAACTTGTTTTTTTCGGTACTTTAAGGAATCAAATACCTCTCTGTAAAATGAGCTTCTGATTTTGCATGCAGAGCTAATATTGTCTGTTTTTCTAGATGAACTGGAACAGAAGTTTGATGAAGGAAATGCTGATTGCCAAACACTACAAGACAATGGAGCTGAAGCGGTATAAACATACACTACTCACTCTCTCTTTTTATTTTACATATATATTTACAGTCATTTTTATACATAATCCCTCATTTTCAGACTCACAAGTTATTAAACAAAGCATTTTTAAATAGGATTGTTCTTAATACTACTAATGAAAGTCAGTGGTGGTAGTCTAGTCTACCTGACTGACAGCCTGAAGTCTAGAACCCATGGACATCACCAAATGCTGTTCTTCCTCCTTCTTGAGGTGGCAGGTTTTTACTCCAGCCACATTCAGTAGTTGCTTGTTTGTGGGTCTCTCTGCTTTTTCTTCAGTTAACTGAAAAACATGCTTTATTTGGTTGGGGCAGGTGACTCACTTGGCCACTGAAAAATATCAGATTTTTTTTGTCTTGACATATTCTTGGGTTGATTTTGCAGTTTGCACTGTGAAGCACTGTCTGATCAGTTTTGCAGCATTTGGCTGAATCGGAGCAGAGAGTACAACCCTGTACACTTCACAGTTTATCCTGCTACTTTGTCATTCACATCATAAATAAACACTAGTGACCTGGTTTCAGTAGCCATACATTCCCATATGTCCATCATGTCTGACAGATGATGTGGTATGCTTCGGAACATGGGCTATTCCTTTTCTTCTCCATGCTCCTTTCCATGATTCTTGATTTCATCTGACCAAAGAACAGATGAAAACGTTGTTCCAGAACTGTGTAGGCTCTTTTAGATATTTGCTATGTTCTTCCCATTCTTCAGTGGAACCACTGATTTGCACCTTCTCTTTCCATTTATGAAAGCATCTCTTCATTTTAGACTAAACTCCTTGATAGTTTTCTTGACTGGTCTAGAAGTCGTGAAGGCTTTTTTCGTAACCAACACACGATGGCGTTCCAGTCCTTTTGGTTTTGCTGAGCTGGCCAGTGCATAGGTCTCATAGGTTTTTGTTTTTTTTCATGTCTTTGGGACATCACATTGAGAATTCGAGGGAAAAGATACCAAATACTTGGATTCATCTCCAGATCTTTTTTTGCTTAATTTTTGATAAGATTATGAGGGGACGGACTGGTTTCACCTGGGCATGAAACCGCTTGTCAGTTAACTGTTCAATTACTTCAGGCGTCTAAAAACTATGTATAAAAATGACTGTAATTCCTAAACAGTTACAGTATGGCAATAATTGATTGCTGTTTATCATTTCTTGATTCTTGATGTTTGATTTAAAATCTACTGTGCGGGTGTACAGAGGCAGATAGCACCAGCGAACCATAGCATCAACAGAACAGTGTAAATCACAGAAAGAATTCAACATACTGCATCTGTTAAAATATTTAGAGATATTAATTGCTTCTGTGGTTATACTGCATTACAGAAACTTGATGCTACTGATACAAATGAAACAGAGGAGAATGTTGAAAAGCCAGAAGAAAAAGAGGAGGTTGCCACTGAAAATGGCAGAGAAGAAGGTGATTTACCTAGCAGTGAAAACAAGATGAATAACCAGGAGACAAACGGTGAAAAAGAGGGGGGAGGTGGAGGAAAAACAGAAATCGATGGACAAAAAGATGGAAAAGGAGAAGACATAGCAGAAAATGAGAAGAAAGTGGAGGAAAAGAAGGAGGATCCAGAAAAGAATAAGAAGGTGTTTAATGGTGAAGAGTATGGATCTAGCAGTGATAAGGCTCTAGACAGTAAGGAGACTGAGGATGGAAACAATATGTCTTCTCAAGGTGAAAGGAGGAAAATTGTGGAAGATGAGAAGGAAGATAAAGACCACACTGAGGTGGAAAAAAGCACTACGGATCACACTAATGATGTAGACACAGTGGAGGAACAGAAAAAGACGGGAAACGGCAACGATCCAGAGACGACTCAGTCAGATAACGAGACTAAAGAGAACGATAGCAGTAGAAGTAGCAGAGGCAACAGTAATCAAGAAGAGGATGAGAACGAAACAAAAGAGGGCACTACCAAAGAGTCAGGTGAAGAAGAAGAGAGCAAGGTGAATGCTGAGGTCAGTGGAGAAGATAATGAGGTAGAAGGTGAAGCAGAGCTCAACACAGATGAGAAAAAATGAACCAGCAAAGATGCCGAGTGCACACACAGGGGAAGATGGTGATCAAGAGAGGCAAGACGAAAGTGAAAAATTAAAAGGATAGGACAAAACACCAAGTTCTTTATACTGAAAATATGAAATTACAAAATCTATTTATATAATGAAAGTGACAGATGAAAATTTATAGAAATTTATAGAAAACAAAGCAATATAAAAGCAGTTTTGCAATGCTGAGCATGTAACCTAAATCTTTAAATGGTTGTCTGCTAAATGGCACAACTACAGAAACACCATATGGATCAAAACTTTATAACTTTCATGTTTGAAACAGAATACACATATAAAATCCATATATATTCTTATTTTTGCATTAAAAATGTTCTTAACTAATAGGTTGCTTTATTGTTTCTTTACACACTGTCTGTGAGCACTGTTGTGAGTGACGCAGAGAAATGATAATATAATAATATCCTTTGAAATTTTTCGAAAGAATGGTTATGCCTCTCATAGAAACTCATACAAATGTATTTAACGAGACATATATTATTGTTTGTTTTTGAATGGTAAGCTAATTTATAAAAAATTCAGATCTTCTTCCTAAATGAGTGCTTCCATCTGTAGGGCTAAAGTTGTCACTGAATGATTCAGTTAGCATCAAAGTGATGTGCATCATATAAATTTAACATACCAGAACACTCGTGCAAGATTTTTGTCCATTATATTTTTAGTCCCCTCTAACGGCAGGATCAACACATCACACTAGTCAACATCTTTTATAACAATGATGTTTCATCCCTGTAATGCAGTTCCAGAGACTTACAGAATTATTCCCAGTCTACAAGTGCAAGTGGAGGCCCAGAACCTTACTGTTACGCCTAATGTTGATTTCTGTCACTGAACCATATTTTCAATGTCTAATTTTTAAAGGCAGTTTCATGTCATATTATTTTTGTAATGTTGCTGCTATGCCAATGTCCATCTGCTTCCAGAAAAATTAAACTGAGGGAAAAAAAGACAGTTTTTTTTGTCTTCTGTAACTGATACTTCAGTGATGAAATGCATTAGTCAATGGAATAGTAAAAATAAAATCATTTAAAAAAGTGATGATGATGTATGATATTGGAAATTAATTTCACAGCAGGCGTAAAGCTTTTTTAAAAAGTTCACTGAGATGGAACTACACTCTCCATTCCACAAGAGTTGAGATGTACGTGTAAAATGTAAATACAAGAGATTTAAACGTTTTAATGTCCCATAAGCCCGTTTTTCATTCACTTTAGAACATAGAATGATATCAAATATTTAAACTGAGAAAACTATTTTGCAAAAGAAGAAGAAAAAAAAAAGGTCAGGATTCCAACTGCTCAGTAGTTTTCAGTCCTACTTTCCTCACTTTTCTTTTCATGATGGGCCAAATGTTTAGCACCTGGACTTTTCTATTAGAAGGCCTTGTTGTAGTAGATGCAGTATGCAGTTTAGTGTCTTATACAATCTGAAAAAGATTCCATCTGCATAGAAGCATGGGCACTAATGCACCTCCACACCATCAGTGATACAGGCTTTGTAACTAAGTATCGGTAACAACCTGGATGGTCCCTCTCCTCTATACTCTGGAGGATGTGATGTCCATGCTTTTCAAAAAGAATCTCAAATTTCAATTCTTTTCATGGTGGAACAGCTTTCCACTTTGACTCAGTGTATTTGGATCATGTTCACAGATGTAGATTTTTCTGTGGATCACCAACACGTTCTGGAAGTTTTCCTGAGCCCATGCAGAATCCATCCTGTTTTTAATGCAGTGCTGCCTGAGGTCTCAAATATCACATTCCTGTCCCTTCCGCATAGAGATTTCACCAGACTCTGTGTAGTAGATGTGATATTTAAAGTCTTTGCAATTTTACATTCAGGGACATTATTCAGATTTTTTTTTACAAATTGGACAATTTGTCACTGCCTCTGTAAAATGCTCAGTCATTTTACTGACCTGTTGCCAGTTAACCTACTTAGTTGCAAAATGTTCCTCCTGCTGTTTCTTTTTCAGTAGCATTTATATTTCCAACCCCATCACAACTTTTTGAGATGTGTTGCTGCCAAAGTCAAAATACAATTTTTCCTGAAATAGTAAAACAACTGTTTTCTTTTCTCTTTGGTGAATAAAATATCGGTTTATGAGATTTTCAAATCATCGGATTCTGTTTTTATTTACAGCGTCCCAACTTTGCATTAGATCTAGCTCTTCAGTCTGTCTTAGTGAAACTGCACTTTGGTCTTTAGCTGCTTTCATCCTGACAGGAAGAAAAGTGATATTTTTGGAGAGCCACTCTTCTCACTCTCATTCAGTGATTTTAATTTGTCATTTTTTTTCCTGAAACAAAGTTCCATAAATCCACTATAAACCACCAGCTGCAGGCAGGAAATATGAACTCTGATCTAATTCAGTATGTATGATGGCCCCACTGCCCGCTCATCCCTGCAGCTGTTCAAATTGGGATTCATGCAGTCGATGTGTTTGTGAGTCACCATCCCAAGAGAGATAAGGAACCTGGCTTAGAGGGAGGAGGAAGAACGAGAGAGCAAAGAGCAGGAGACGCAGAAAGCAAAGGAGGTGGGGGCAGGAGTGTGTGAGTCATAAGGCCTGCCTGGTTGAGGTGATGATCCTCAAGATGCTATTTCTGGCGTCACCATTAATTCTGTGTTATCTCCTCCACCAGCTACTCTGTTTTCTGAGTGTGTATGCATGTGGGCGTGTTCAGTAAGGCCCTAAATAACACACCCTCCAGACTGATTACAAGGGGGGCTTCTACAATGTAAAAATGAACATTATTAACATATTGTTTGAATTAATTTAAATCTATAATTATTTAAACATTGATTTGAATCAATAATCAAAAATTATAATTTTTTCTTGATTAAGAAAAAAAGGGAAGGCACCAGATTTTAAAGAACACAAAGTCCTGCTTAGCTAGTATTGTACAGTATATTTAAATAACCCTGCAGGGAATTTAGGAAGTAAAAGTGTCAGTTGTTTGGCACACATAGATGGCAACTGTGAGATATTAAAGGAAAACAGCAGGGAAGATTAAAGATTAAAATAAGATCAAAAACATTTGACCCTTGTGACAACAGTGAAGTATTTTTTATTTCTGTAGGGAGACATAAACTAAGCCACTTTATACTCCCACTTTATACCACTTTATACCTCTCACTTCTGTTGGGAGGTATAAAGTTTTATCAACAGTTAAGCCACCAGGCTGTCAGTTTACTGCACAGTGTGCTGCAATACAGTTTTCACACATTTCCGATCCACCGATATGTCAGTTTTATTGTGCTGTTCGAAAAATAGACATACTGCATGTAGACACTGATTTATATGTGTTCTTTATCCGATCTGTTCGCAAATAAGGGTAGCATCGTTTTTTATTTAGTGGGATGATCCACTGTTACATCAGGAAAGACTTCAAGTTTGATATATAGCAGAAAAAAAATATCCATTATGGATTAGAGTTTGTAATGCAGCAGGAAACAGCATAACATTACAAACCAGCACTGCCTGTTAAAGTCCTGGCCGCACTAGAAGGTTTGTCCGTAATGGCTTGTTTAACAGCTTGGCTTTTCTTCATGTACTGAAGGCCCGCAGCTCAGTGGCTGTGTATCTTGAAAATGAAATGCCTTGCTTATTACTAGGTTGGTTTTTTTTGTAGTTACAGCTATGCTTCTGTGTTGCATCTGAGAGTAAATGTGTTAAAATGACACCAGGACTTAGTAGAAAGAAGATTGGAGGTAATTAGAATAATATTGAAAAGGTCAACTTACATTGACAATAGTAGTCAGCATAGCAAATCAACATCTTATAGAGTAAATATACAAGCTGTGCTGCAAGAATGTGGTGATGATGAGATATGGTTTAAAAAAAGCTGAAGCTTGTATCTTGGACAGTAGAATTGTTCTAACCAAGTACAGATTTTTTTACAGTACAGGTTTGTTTATAATGATGAAACAAAAGATACATGTTAAGAAAAACAAACAAAAACAAGCTTTTAAAGTGGTAGGGTAGGATTACAGTAATTGTAATAAATATATGTACAACACATGAGGACACAGTGTGTTAAAAAGCAGAAAAACATGGCCGTTACCAGCTTATTGTGCTTCTAAGTTACAGTTACAGTGTGAATTCTTGTATAGCATAAAGGAATGAATAAAACAGGAACCGTCTTAATAATCACTCCTTCAGTTTCACATCCAGCACATAAGCAAATTCTCTATAGTGTAAAAAATGTGGTCCTGGAATTTAACAGCTCTCCGGTGTTAAACATTGCTGACTGTGATATAAATTATTGAGTTTCAAATTTTGTGTGTGATAGTAGGAAGGCATTTATTGAATCTCTTTAATTCATCCATTAGTGCTGTCAGATACAATGTTGCTGCGATCCCATTGGAGAGCTGAACGTGCTCTCATCTTCCCTCCGTTATGTAACCTGTGTGTCACATTGTCTCTCTCGATGCACCCATCTTCATTTTCATGAGTA